ACCAAAACGTCGACAAAATGTCTGAAAATACAATTTTTTTCATTTTAAGCAAGTAAACGGAATTTGCGGATATATAAGATCTCTAATGCAAGCGAGGTGGCCAGGATAGCTGTGAGAATGTAGGTGAATCGCATAGCATCGACTGCACCGTCGTAACGAACGGAATGCAGTCTCGGCGAGCTCTCGCGAAGAGACCCTGGAGACTGGAATATTCTGCATCTTTAGAGCCGCGACTTTGCCAGACGGATAAAACGTCGCTCGCGGTCGTGCTCGAAATAATTAGCGTACGAGAGAGTACTTACTCATTGCACCGTGCAACGAGAGAGAGAGATGTGTTCAGCGTTGGTACTTTTACTTTGCTAATCAATTTCTTTTAGAATGTTTCTTGCCGAATTATGTGATTTAAAGACGTTACGACAGTAATAATTGAAACTTATTTTTAAATATAAGATCATTAATCTAGCTTTTAATATAAGCCAATATTTTGAATGAATATTTATTTTACATTCTTTGTTAGCTGTCATAAATTTGAATTTTTTTGAGATATAAGATAGCAATATTATCTAAAATCTAAAAGTATTTTATAAATTGCTCAGAAGTCATAATCGAGCATAAATAAATAGGTTCTTGATTGAAAATAAAATACATGTAATATACCTGAGTGTATACCTCAGCAGTTTGTTAACAACAGTTACAAGAAAGCGGATGTTGCTAATAATGTAGAAGGCGACTGCGAGATATGAGCAGGACCGTAAAGATAAGGTTCTTACGGTCACTTGCAGAAATCGCAGATTACCAGAGTTAGCGCGACGAATGGCCGTTTGCTAAAGGACTGAATGTTAGAGAGCAAGGTGGTCGTTTGCAGTTGGCACATATTTCTTGAGACACGAGAACGTCAAGTTCTCTCGCAGCAAGGTGGAACACGTTTCGAACCTGCCTTGGTTGGTTATCGTATTTGCGAGAGAGACGAACGTGAAAAAATATTACCGGTCTCTCGAATCGATTATCCCGGTGTCGAGACGATATATATTGACTGCGAACCATTACACATATATCATAGGCGACCTCGAGAAGCGGTGACCGATTGAGAGTTCTCATGAGAGTTCTCTGTCGTGTGTTCCATCTAATTCAGAGGCTCGATCCAATTCACACAGCCTCGACAAATTTCCCACAAAATGCGCGCACAGCTGAATGACTCTTGCGTTAAATCTCGTAATCGTCTTATTGTTCACGTTGCACCGAGTTGATGAATTCGAATGTTACATTATTCTCTTTCTGTGCTCGTACATACTAATTTTTCATTTTTGAATATATCAAAATAATCACGAACGATAATCTGATATAAATAATAATCGATATTTTAATATCATGTATATATTCTGTTCTTTTTTATTTTTTTAAAATTTTTTATTAACTAATCGGTTTGCGAGCTTCGTCTACCACAACCTTAAAAGAGCAAGAAAGAAACCTGACAGGGGTTATCCATGGACGTGTACACCGAGCTATGTGCTGTCTCTCGAGGCGGTAACGGCAGACTTAACGGTATCCCATTCCAGCCCAATATTTATATTCTTTTCGCTGGTTGAACGCGACATATTGTACATCTACGTAATATAATTCGGTAATACTGGGTTTGTAAAATCCATGTTGCACGAATGGATTTATATATCGCGAGTGAAAGTGACGTGATGTCACTTCAAGAGAGCATGAATGATTTTATAGCAGCTAGAGTGTTCGCGATATAACGAGAGCGCACGCGATTTCTCAAAAGCCATATTTATAAAGAACTATTAATTTATTAAACTATGCAGACTATGTGAAATCATTTATAAATAGCTACTGATTTATGTCATGGTTAACTATATGAAATAATTCTTATTTTCATAGAGGAATGCTTGAACATATGTGCAGTATTTAGATACATGTATCTAGATACATTTTGTGTATCTGAGTCTGTATCTGAGATATATTCGAATTGAAGTATCTATCTCTGTATCTAGATACAAAACATGGTATCTGAATTGCTTTTTTCAGATACATTTGCAGATACATTTTCACATATTTTTTTTAATAGCCCAATTCGACGATATCTTTGAGGCATTTTTCACGTGTTAAGACTAACGAATAAAGTCGTAATATAAACAAATATATTAATAAAGATAAAAGAATTATTCAGTACATTTTGTACATATTACCATTATTATGATAAAATATAATTTAAAAGTATGTGATATGTATCTGAAATACTTTTAAAGTATCTGAGTATCTGTATCTATATACATTTTAATTTGTGTATCTGTATCTGTATCGAGATACATTTTAAATGTATCTTATCCATTACTGTGTATGTGATACAATCGACAAATGTTTAAATTGCATTCTAGAGCATCACAAGCTTTGAAATTAATTTTATTAATATTTTTCGAACATTAGAATGATCGAATTGTGTTTCCATGTTTCAAATATTATGTATTAAATTCCAATTTTTCAGCAAAACTCTACTTTCGGAAAATTGCCTTATACGTAGCTGAATTTCTCGTTTTGATTTGGGGAAATGTGACGATTTTCTGGAAAGGTGGACTCCAATCTCGTTTCTCTGTTCTACTGTATAGGCAGCAATTTCGTGACACTTTCACGGTTAATGCGGTTGGGCGAAAGTCAGGGAGTGATGAAACTCTATGCCGGATACACATCGCGGTGTCGTTGCTCCTACGCGTGTGTTAGCGATGACGTTGGTGGTTTCATGCAAATAATCTTTCCTTGCGCAAACGGGAAGCCCCGATATCGCGACGGTAAAAATTCATGAAAGCTGCGCGAGTGACGTGTCAATCGATGATGACTCTTTCATGACAATCGAAAGAAATGCTCACAACATCGAGCATCTTAAATATAAATAGGTGTGCGTGTTATTGCGTGTATATCTTTTCTATTAACTCTACATATATATCTCTGTTAACATCTCAAATCAATAACGATAACCATCTGATATTTTAGCACTTCTACAATATATATAGCTTTCATATAAATCATTGCCAATTACATTGATGTGGAATAAATTGCAATTAATCATTAATATAGGTATGCACACGAATATATACGCGGAATCTGGTAGTAATATTATAAAGTATATTATAAATCAAAATGTTTAAAGCGTAATATAACGTTCGTATAATTTTACTGGCTCACAGTTTATAACGGATCCCGAAAACGTGTAAAATTAAATCCATGAAATTTGTACAAACTTTCAACGAGGGCAATGACTGAATATCTTTTATAGATATGATTTGCTTTATATAAACTTTTTGTAAAAAAAAACTTTTTGTATTCTATTACTAATATAATTCATTATAAAAAATATGTAGTAGTAAAAAATAACATAAAGAAATTATTATATACAGTAGCGATACAATAAAAAAATAAACTATCATCTGTAATAATATATTTTAAAATTTTAAATAACAGATGTTGAATATTCATCTCAAATTACATATCATGGATTACCAGAATATTTGCTTTATTTTATTTTAAAAACAAATGGCTAATACGTAAAATATAGGCTACTCTCATTACTTGTTTCATATATATATTTATAGTATTATATTATCGTATATACACATATGCGGGTCTTTAAAACTCTTGACAAATCATATGTATGTATCGTGTGTTGTAACCACTGACGGATTTTTAATTTAAAACGTGAAAATCTCTTCGAGTGCTTAAATGTAAGTGTACGTCATGCTCGCAGCTTTCTCTAGACAATAACCGGATGCGGTATTTTAGTAATATACTTGCAAAAAAATTATATTTAATCATTAAAAAAATATATATAACAATATTAATATTGAATATATTAAACATATTAAGTGTGCTTTTCTTTTCAAACAATATACATTTCTGTGAAACTAAATGTATATCTATTTACTTTTCAAACAATATACATTTCTGTGAAACTAAATGTATATCTATTTACATTTCCATAACAAATTCGAAAATAAATGTTATTAATTAATAATTATAAATAATGGTAATAATAATATATTGCAATTAAAAATTAAATTTTTATTTTCAATAAATTTTCTGCAAAACTAACTCATAGAGAGGTAATTGTTTCTCAATTATTCAAATATATTATCACAAGATTGCAATTTAATGAAGCATCGATATAACGTTCTTGTGAATCTGCTGAAATTTTCGATAGAGGTCAAGATACCGGTTTTAAGCATACCACCACATCATTGATTTAAAAACTTATGCATAGCTTCAAAGTACTTGTTTTTCCGCAAATTACATTAATTATCTCGTGCTTAAATTGCGCTGCCGACACGCGGGAATATCTTGAGCTTGGCATTAATATCACCGCGACGATATCACGCTGCGATCGTTGACATCTCCACTGAATCTCTTAATGTTCACATATTTTTCATAAATCATATCCATACAATATCGCGTAGAGTGAACTTGAACTTTTACAACATATTAATAATTAATCAAACATTATTTGTTTTAATCAAATGTTCGCAATTATATTTTGTTATTTTTCCATATTTATAATTGAAGCAATTATAACCACTGGTGGATCTTGAAGGGTAGTTTTAAGATTAAAACGTCTCCTTCCAAATTAAAAGAAATAATTGTAATCCGATTTGCGAAAATATTTTTACTATAAATCAAATAATTTTGAGAGTAGAAACTCCTTCATTATCAATTTCAGGATCTGCTAGTGATTACAACTATGACTAAAGATACGTTTATATGTATCATTTTGCTACTCCGTATATTTCTAATATTAATAGAATCATAATTTAAAAAAGTATGACAATTTATATTGAATTAAATACAAAATGATATAGATGAGATATACATTTTAAGTGAAATCCTTTCCTTATACGAATTTTAATCTACATTTTAGATATCCATCACGCGCATACAAGACTTTAGGTCTAATCATTTTACCCCCACTATTTCATCACGGCTCACTACCCTATCTCAACCTTTTCCAGACTTACCGGATAGTGCAAGGATCGTCAAGGTCACGAGGACCCTGGCCATCGAGGCTGCCATGATCATCGACTGGTCTCGCAACCCCCGCAAATAAAATCAAGGGTACGAATACGAAGATCAAGGCGTGAAGCTTTCCTTCAGGATTCTATGCACCTGGACCTATCGTCGTCGATTTGAAACGAGCCGTGGTGCCTGCTAATGTCCGCCATTTTGGATCACAAGCCTACAGTGAGCTGCCGGACCTCAGAAGAGCTGGACTTCACGAACACAGTATGCGGTACGCCATTCTTTCTTTTTACCCTTCTTTTCTCTTGCTCCCTCCTCTCTTTTTCTGTCGTTCTCTCTCTCTCGCTCTTTTATCCTTCCACTTGTCCTTTTTTTCTCTTACTCAGTCTCGCACTCTCGCACACGCCGGTTGACCTACTTGGCGGCGGATCACACCGGTATACACGTCAGGTTTTCGGCCAATATAAGCCGCACCGGACTTTAACTGAATACCTAAAGAGCCTTAAGCTTGTCTCACGTGGTTAATCACTCGGTATTTTTTCGTCGCACAAAATTTGCTTTATATTATTTTCTTTTCAGTTACCGTATTTTTAATTGATTTTATTGCTTATTGTTTATCAGCACCTTTTTTCCAAATAATTTTTGTCTGATTCAAACTAGATTATATCACTTAAAAAATATAATAATTTATTTAGAGTGTCAATACTAATGATTAAAGATAGATTATTGATATATATTTTATAAAATTTTTATACATTTGATTCGTCAGATCAAAATTCAAACATTGAGAAGCACAAATTTCATAATAAGTTTATAAATCAGTGATCGCACTTTTGAAAATAATTAATATTGTTTACTTAAAAAATAATTAATTTTCCACATAAAATAACATAAACCAGTCAGACAATTAACTATATTGTTCAAGCAATAATTTAATACCGGATATCACATCTGATACAACTTTGTCGCACTCGATTCACGCTGAAGAGAAGAATCACATTGTTAAACAAAGTTCACGAAGAGTCTGTCGGCGATGTTTGTCTTGGGAAAAATAAATCCACCGATCTGAATCAGCGTCCCTTCTGCCAGAATCCTGCGGAAGAACGCACCATGGAGAGAGGATCGTTCGCTTTCCTCAGCAACGTCACCGTCTTGTCCCGAGGACTGCGAAGTCCCAGTGCGCGAAAACGGTGAACCTTCAGTTTGCACCATCCGAGGTTCACTTCACGGTCGTTCACACGGCACTGGCTGAGGCTGAGGACGGTCATACACACACGGTCTCTCCCACTTTAGCTATGCCATAGCTACGCCATGGTGCACTGTACACTGGTGCCGAGCATGTACGTCACGACTTGGTGGCTGGCTCTTCCACCATGATCGGCTGTCTCTTTCTACCGTTCGTGCTCTACAGAATAATCTTTCCCCACTCCCCTATGAATTTTTCTCTCTTTCTCCTGGTATATTCTGCGGCGAACCGTGTCTGTACCTGCGCGACTGAATACCATACAGGTTCCTTCTATATAGCCCGTGTTCTCATCAGTTTTCTAAATCGAGGCAGGTAAGTTTTCGGCGACGACAGGGAAGAAGAAATGCAGAGTCCAGCCGGAACTGAACTTTCAACTCGTGTTCTTGACATTTTTTTGAACTCGAATGACATTTATATCATTTTTCTCTTTAGGGCTCCTAAATATACACAAGATTATCAGAATCTTATCGCAAAAGGACGACTTGATAATTTTTCGACGGAAGTTAGAATATCAAGGAAAACCTTTTTCTTTTTTTCTCAAGATAAATTGTAAGTTATTTAGAAAATTATAAGTGTTTCACAATAGAAGATAAAGACAATTGTTATCAAAAAATTGATAAAGTACATTTGAGTAGTTATTTTGAATAAAACTGGAAGAGATAATTAAATTGTACAGAAAATATGATATTTGTTAAATTAACGAATGTTTAATTAACAAACACTAAATGCAATTGCCTAGTTTTTGCTGTGTTTTTCGTGACTTCTTATTGTTAGCTTTGCTTATTTAACGCGCAGAATCGTTATTATATAGAGTTACGCTGCGATAAATCGAGTAATGATTATATAATGAATCTTGTTTAACAAGACATTGAAAATATAACACAGTAACGTATATAATATATGAACATATTTCATCAACAAAGTAGATAGATTGTTGAAGAGACAATATAATTGATGACATTGCGCTTCTATTAATCTTCTCACAATCATTAAATTAAAGTAATAAGAATAATAGTAGATTATTTTTGTTGCGCACTCTTTTAATCTTGCAGCTGTCAACATCGAGTCATTCTTCATCGTACAGATTTTTAATTACTACCATTAAAAATTGCTTTAGGTGTATTAACTTTGAGCATAATCGTATCATGCTACGTTGCATGCCTTAAAGTTGGTCATTTCATTGACGTCTATAATTGTCGAGAAAATAGAGTAAGCACGATGTCGCATGTGACATTTGATCATCTACTTTGATATACAGTTAATCATATTATCAGCAATAATATTTCTTATGCAATTTCAAGTTTCTCCGTTAATCTTATGACATTTAATAATATAGTTTGACATCTAGGTTCAATTATCGTAGGAATTTAAATTAATTCTATGTATGTATAATTTATTTTGTTCATCTCGAAAAATTATTTCCGGGTACTGAAAAAAATTACACAGTTTTTATAAATATAAGATTAACTATACGATTTATTGTGATTTAAATATACGTAGGTATGCTTTGAAAAAAAACTAGTAAAATTCCACTTTACATTTAACTGGGTAATTAAGTAAACTGTTTAACGTAAAGTCGCACACATGTGCAGTTAACGGGACTCCTTGGTGGCATCGTGAGCATGGGAGTCTCATGCTTGCACTAAACTGTCACTAGCGTTTGTCCTTTTTCTCAATGTATTGCAAAAACTAAAAATCTTAATTAAATCTTTAATTTTTCTCTGATTTTATTAAAATAATCGTATCATGATATAAACTACAAAAATAATGCACAATATTATATGTATACGTTTCAAAATCCCCTAAATAATTTCAATAACTTAAAAAACGCGCAGAAAAACAAAGACAATAAAGTAATATATGGTATCTATTAAATTTTCAGAAAAGATCTTTAAATTATGCAGCACTATATTTCTACAAGTAATAATAAGAATATAATGCATTTAACAAGTGTAATATTAATTTAACAGCTGGTGAATTTAACATGTGATAAATATTTTTTAATCAGTACACTTGCACAATCCACTTCCTCTTATTTTACTACATAATATCTAGCAAATACGTGCGTAATCTCTCTTTCTTTCTCTTTGTGTTTCTGCTGTATTAATGAATATAACATAACTGAAAGAATTGGTCAGTACGGTCTAATGAATGTCGGAACTACATTATTGTGCACGCACGAGCATATCTTTTCTGCATTCAGAAAACGCAAGATGTACCGATACCTTACTATTTTTCCCGTTATGATAAATCGCATGTCCATGTCCATTATCTGTGTTTTTTTACGCTTTAGAACAAATATACATATTTCATTTTTATATATACGATTATTGTCACGATAAGTTAATATAACGTTTATATTGTATATATATATATATATATATATATATATATATATATATAAGGTTTAATAAAACTTATTTTTTATTAATAACTATACATAATTATTTAATTAATTTACAGCATGTTTATGATTACAAATTTTTTAAATTTAAATAATCATTAAATCAAATTATATAATATGCATACTTTTTTAGAGTGTTTATTATTTAATTCTTTAATTTAATTTATTTTTGATAAACAATTTCAATATGCTTAAATTTTTCAATCGGTTATTATCAGATAATGCGGTAATAATTCGAAATAAACAGGACGTGAAATGTAAAAGAAAAATAATGCTACTCGAAAACAGAAAATCCCAGCGAGATCTTTTCTGTGAGATTTTTAAGATACCATATTAGCAGCTGAAAAGAATTCCGTAAAATATTATGACGAGGGAATGCATCGGAATTCCTTGTAAGATTATAGTGACCTGATGATTCTCAACCTTGTCCTTGATTCCTGTGAGTCATTTCGTAACACAAGTATCATTTTCCCTTTATCTATATATATAAAATATTTGTCGAACTTCTCGGGCATATCAAATCTGATATATTTTAAACGATTTTAAATTTTACAACGATAAAAATTTGTAATATATATCTTTCACAATAGTTTACATAATTATATTATATTTTTCTTGGGGAAAAAAATATAAAATATATATATGTGTACAAATTTGGAATTAGCCGAAAATATTACTTTCATATGCAGAATTAGTTAGCCTACTTTTCTAACTCGTTGCTAATTTGTGAAAGCTTGACAGCTGCAAGACGTGCGCGCCACGTATGTCTTATGCTTTGTGGTAATTCTGCAACATTCACTGGCAGACGATATGAATGCATGTGTAGCTATGTAGTCACATTTCTCCGTCTTTTCTCTTTTCTCCTCTTAATAAAAAATGTAATGCAATCAGTTTTTTTTCAAAAATATAAATAATAGTTTAATAATAATAATTAAGTAATAATTTTTACATAAAAAAATAGTGATCATAAGTTACAATTAGTAATAATAATTTTTACATAAAAATTATGCTGTAATTATATAGCATAAACTCTATAATCCTATTAAATAGATAGGTATACGGGATTAAGTTTTAAAAGTGTGATTTAAAAATATTTATTTTTTGTATAACAGCAGGAAAATATTCTTCCTCTCTCAGTAATAATTAAGATCCATTTATCGATTGATCTCACGTATGGACACACCCTTTTTCTATAAACCACTACCTGACCTTTATAGTTGGATTGTCCGCATTTCGATACATATATAAAAAAAATTAAAACTGCATCTCTACATAACGGGTAGCCTCCTAGTAGTCAAGTATGTATGAAATTATACTCGGTTAGTAACTGATTCTCATCCGGAAAGGAAAGATAAAATAAAGATAAAATTCTCTTCTTGCGTAAAGGGAAGTAAAATTTTGCTAATACTTATTAAATATTTATCATATTTAAATTATGAATATTTATATTATTATATTCATATTATTTCACTATTGAGTCATATATATTTATATACTATTCTATTTAATTTCATAAAATATGACAGTTCTTTTAGTATTACATGACACATAATTTATAACATTTCCGTCACAATTTTATTTTTTTATTTAATTATTTTTAGTTATATAATAATTATTATCTATTTATATAGTATGCACAAAATCATATACTATGCATACACTTTAATTAAATAATAAATATATTATTTAATCACAGTAAATTGCTTTTATGACATAAGTTAAATAACTACGTTATATACAGTTATTTTGATTTATGTATATTTTAATTTAAATGCAGATTTTATTATTATTAACTGCTGGTAATAAGATTGTTTAATCTTGATCATAAGTTTATTATATTCATATTATTTCACTGTTGAGTCATATATATTTATATACTATTCTATTTAATTTCATAAAATATGACAGTTCTTTTAGTATTACATGACACATAATTTATAATATTTCCGTCACAATTTCGTTTTTTTATTTAATTATTTTTAGTTATATAATAATTATTATCTATTTATATAGTATGCATAAAATCATATACTATGCATACACTTTAATTAAATAATAAATATATTATTTAATCACAGTAAATTGCTTTTATGACATAAGTTAAATAACTACGTTATATACAGTTATTTTGATTTATGTATATTTTAATTTAAATGCAGATTTTATTATTATTGACTGCTGGTAATAAGATTGTTTAGTCTTGATCATAAGTTGATAGTATTGAAAGAGATGTGCGTGCTTCATTATTTGTTTCAATTTAAGTAAATAAATACAAATTAGCGCAGTTTCCATTTTTCTCTCTAATTGCAAATTGATATAATTATTATATTTAATATCAAATGTCATGTATTATAATGTAATATACAATATACTATAATATATACAGAGACATACATATTACATCAACTCGTCTCAAATGATAACTTACGTATATTTCATCTATTATCAATGGATATGTTCATTAATTATATATGATCTAAATTAATTGTACGTGTAAATATATTTATATAGAAATATTTTTTTTCCAGTAGCTATCATAAGAAACATCTTATTCAGAATTAAATATGATTTTGAGATTTTATCATTATATAACATTAACAAAAGTTTCTTGAAAATAAGCTTTTTAAATATATAAATATATAATAGCTACGCGAATTTACGATTTATTTTATTAAATTTTCCTTGTAAAATAATCATGGACAAATCGAGGCGACAGAAGCACAAACGACGATGTCGTCTGCATCAGGAGCACAATTACTCGTCGTTTTAAGCTTGTCGTCGATGATAGCCAAAACGAGCATCCGGACGTGGTACTGGAAGACGAAAACAAGACAAGTACAAGAGAAGAAACCAGACGAAGCTGTCGTATTAAAAAAAGAAACAAGAGGAGAGAAAAGGAGCCGTGGAAGAGCGCGATCTTGTTGAACGCCGATAATTGCTGGCTTCTAAGATGAAGCCAAGTTTGAAAGACACAAAATACACAACGTAATAATTGAATGATACAATTGGAAAAAATTAATCAAGGTATGTTTTACCATTTTCTTTATTTTATAAAATATATATAAGAAGATATAATCGATTTGGTGTCAAATGTATATGTATATTTTTAAAATATATAAATATATAAAATATATTTACAAATTATAAAATATATAAAATACATTTTATAAAATATATAAAATACATTTTATAAAATATAAATACATTTGACGCCAAATCGATTATATCTTCTTTTTTTAATTTATATTAATTCCTCGTATTATGTGAATATAATGAAAAATCTCTTTAATTGTAAAATTGCAAAATAAATGCAGCTGTCAAATGTATTGTAAAAATAGAAATTTTATAAACTATGCTTTATTTATTTTTGCGACAATTTTTGCACAATTGTTTTCTCTTAATAATAGGGTATATATATATAAATAATTTTTCCTTACTAGATTCAATTTCAAATTAGCTCATCAATCTTCAATGTCATAAACGTTTAATATTATTTTAAGTATTCGCCAGCTTTCAGATGTGAATAACATCAATTTTGTCAAAAATTGATTACTATATGCTTATCTTTTCTAGTACAATAAAATTCGAACGAAAGATATTTCTGCGATAGATTTCCGACACACATAGCTCGACTAGCACATCCTCCTTCCGAAAAGCCACATTCCGACACGTCCACCCTACGTGCAGCACCCCGATACTCTTCCAGGAACAACTACAACAAGCTATACAAGCCGAAAAACGACACCGTAGAAAAAATCGCGCCGGTTCAAAAAAATAAAAGGAAAAAAAAGATACGTCAGACACGAAATTCGTGTGTGTCATAACTGTCCGCGAGGGTGCAACGAACTAACATCGGAGCCGAGCATCGGAACGACACGGGTATGGGACATTCCTTCTCCGTCCTCGTTAATTGGCACTTTCATCCGCAAAGCCGTTCGTTCGTGGATCCGGGGACATCAAGAGCAATCTCCGGCGTCCCCGGATCGATCGCGGATCCTTCTCCTTTTCCCTTTCCTCGCTTTTGTACGCTCCGGCCGTATTGTGGGACTCTACCCTCCTGGCGCTCTGCTTCTGGTCCTAGAACTGCGTGCACCAGAATGCCTCCGACCTCACCAAACTAGACGCCGGACTGGTTTTTGTCCAATTTAGATCCCCCATTGTTCGCTCCGCGGTGGAATGAAAATAGAGGACCCACTAACAGCAACCTATATTCGCGAACGTTGCATAGGAAAACACCGGCAGTACATCAGCAAGCACATGCTCGATTCTCGCGTCAAATCTCGGTTTATGTACACGAAAATCAATATTAAAAGTGATCATAATAAGACTTTTCTCGATGTCGCTCTTTATCACACTCGAAAACATAGGCGTCCGCAGAGAGAGGCATAAGAGAAGGCATTTGCCCTCCTTTTGGAATCAGTAAAAAAATTAAGAATTTGCTCTCCTTTTGAATAAACACTAAAATTTATTTGCATATTTAATATAAAAAAAATAAAATAAAATAACAAGAAAAATTTTTTTTACATTAAAAGGAACAAAAATTAAAAAAATGAATTATGCATCCTGGAAAAAATCCTGCGGATGCTCAACTTGCTCGATATTCCTATACGTCCCATATTTTCAGATTAATATAAATAATTAATCAAATTTATATAATTTTTAATAAAATTTATATATGAATGATACCGTATTTTCGAATTGCCCTATACACGGAAATAGTTTCGGTTTAACTGCAATGCAATGTGCTAGTGCGACATGACAACGCATCGATAAGAAGCTAAAGTGCATATCGTGTTCCCAAGACTACATACAGTCAATTCATTGTGCTTTCTCTGTCCCTCTCGAAGAGTACCGAAACCCCATGAAAGAAGCTCTATAAGCAACCAGGTGTAGACGGTTTCCAGGTGTCCTTAATGCAACATCAAGGCAGCCCTCCAACATTACTTTCTTGATTATTTCTGTGTATTATATATTATTTTTTTCATCGTGTACATTTCGATCAACATTGCCATATATAATTCTTTGTTAATGTAAATGTATAATAATTTATTTCTTCGATTTTTCAATGAGATTATCAAAATTCTAAAGAAATTGATAAGATCACCTGAGGTGATTTTTTTAATTAAAAATGATTTCTTTGCAAAGATGTTTGTGACTGAAATAAAAAAATTGCTATTTTGTCGGTGCATCAGATTCTCGTTAAATGGCACATAACGGAACTTGCATTACATTCCTTTTCTATTTTTAAGATCGTCGTATTTTTTTTCCGTGGAATACCATGTCAATTTTTAGAAAAGACTCATCGTAATTCTCTCGCTGCTTTAATTATTTTACCATCTTAGTAACGAATAGCGAGTCTTCTATTGTATTTTTATTGATGCAACTTTAAAAAAATCACAAAATAGATACAATTCTAAAATTAATTGGTTGATCGTAAATAAAAAAGAAAATAGCATATCTTATCAAAGATAAATAAGAAAAGAATAACAATAATTTTAACGATAATGCGATTTACAAAGATAAATTAGCAAGGAAATATTTTTTATATACGTGCTCCTATCTGATTCTACCTTCAATTGAAACGAATTATCACTCGCCTCTCTTTAGATTTGTATCTACGGAATCGCATAAAACTCAGAAACTCGTTAAGCGGCAATAGTGGTCATTGATTCGTATGTCATCTGGCTGCAGCATGCGTCATTGCGTTACTGCACTTATAAAGAAAACGAGCGGCGTTAAATGCATGCATCACTCGTTCGTCACGCGCGATAATTATTCCGCGGAAGTTACTCGAATGCAAGTGACGAGCATAAAAAATCTCCTAATCATCAGTGGATTTAGTGTTAGTCATGCATAGAACGGAAATAATTTTTCTTATCATTTGTGTGTAATGTGTTTTTTTTATTTTATTTTAAGATACAATATTATTTAAGCTATTCATGTTCATTAAATAATATTTTATAAAGTTGTTTGTACAATATAATCTTTTCATTTTAATTTGATAATTTTAAAATAATATAAAAATAATATTAATAATATTATATAAAATATTTTATTTTTATTTTATTTCAAAATAAAATATTTCAGTTATTCAGACTTATTAAATTATATTTTATAAAGTCGTTTATATACTATAATTTTTTTATTTTAATTTGATAATTTTAAAATGATATTAAAAATATATACATTTTTTAAAAATAATATATCACTAATAATATTTTTTTAAATGTACAAAATTGTGTAAGACTATATTTAGATATTTTTCAAACAAATTGTAAATGTATTATAGAGTCATGATATTTTTAAATAACACATATTTGCATAGAATGGAAGAAAAGTGAAATCATACTCAATACTTGAATGAGATTACAAGTTAAATCTATATTTGGGTCAATCAATACGACGCATATCAAATTCCTTAACTCTATACCTTCGACACGAAATGCCCTGCCCTTACTATACTACGAATTCCGATCACGTATTGAAAATGCAACACGACATACTTTTCTACGGAAATTCAAACACAAATAAGAGTCGATAGAAATACACACAGATCTTCACAATTAAATATTGTGTATTTTATACGCACATTTTACGAAGCAGTTTCCTTATAACTATGTCGTAAAATGCATATTTTAATACAGAAGAAACAACGAGCCTCTACAAAAAATTTCTGAAATTAGCGAAAGAATCTGATTCTGCTCACGATAATTTTATAGCGTGTCCGATATTTTACGAGAGAATTGCAATCTTATTTTACAACACGCACACATATACAATATTGTATTTATATACATATGTATATATTATATAAGTATATTATACATGTATATTATTTATTGTATTTATATGTGTATTATATATTTTTCCTATTGTTTTATCGTTATTTTACATATAAATGCAACATAAAATTTATTAATTATTACACCTGCAAATAAAACAATTTTATTTTCAGCATTCTAAAGCCCTGCGCGCACAATAGAGAAAAAATTGAAATATTAGGAATAATTTTATGAAAATAAATTCGAAAAAAACTCTGATATACAAATATAAATTTAGAAAGTGCTCCAACTAGCATTTATTAGTCCTTTATACCCGAATTTGTATTTTTGATATCAAAGTTTCTCGATTATTATTATTAAAAAAAAATGTTATTCCACGTGGGGGCTAATAATATAATTTCTAAGAACCGCTTACTCAAGACTCGACTTTGTGCTTGAAGGTACACGCTCGAAGGCGAAACAGCTACGGCCCTGATGTGCCCTGTAAAGGGCCCGGCGTGAAATGGGCCCACTCCTGGGTCAGCCGCAAGAGCCTCCCGGCCCATTCCATTCCGGACCCGTCGTAGCCGTCTCTCGCGTGCATCGTCCGCCGAAGGAAGCATTCCATTCATGTTTCGGAACGCGCAACGCGCTCGTCGCCGCGAGTGAAGGAAGAGAGACCTCTTCTCGGGCCTCTCTTCCCGGGCTATCTGGCGTCTAGTTTTCGCCTAGACGACGACGACGGACCGTGATGACGATCGACGAGTCTGCCAGGAACATCGTCGTGGTTCCAGCACGTGGTTCTACATTATTGTTTCGAGCCGCCACTATTCGAACGCATCCGGGGATGCAGTTGAGGCTGCGCTGGTGAGTTCTTTTGTTTATCTCTTCTCTCACCTTTTTTTTTCTTCGTCGCTCTCTCTGTTTCTTCGGCTGGAAATATTCGCCTGTTTCTATCGTGTCACTTAAATCGCTGATCGGATTCTTGATCCAGAATTTGACAGTTTGATTTTGATATCGATTGAAAAATTCCATCGTCGAGATGTAGAGATAACGTGCACGCTCAACTGTATTATCTCGGGTTTTTAGTTTGAGATAGAATTGGGTGTCTTGTAAATATAACGGGTTGATTAAGAGGTTTATCATGTGTTTGTGCTACTGATAAAGACGAGTGGTTGGAAATATGGTAAAATGTTTAATGAGATGTCTGCCCTATCGCGACGGCGCCAACTGCTTCAAGAATATATATATTTTTAAATTTATAATAACGTTTTTTTTTTATCTACGTGTCTGGGAGATATTAGCAATACACCAAAATTGTATTTCGCTTAAAAAACATTTATCGATATCTTCTTATATCGGTATAATCGCGATATGATTCCGCAGCCGTAAATTATCTTCAGATTGTAGCTTTCGGCTATCTGTAATTAATTTCGTTAAATATTTTTATTATTTCGTTAAATATTCTCTCTTTCTCTCTACGTACGTGATTTAAGATTATGTCCGTCTTTCGTATAGCAACTTCACGTGTGTCTGAAGGATCTTTATTACTTTATCAGCAAAGTAGATTGCGAGGTTCGTAACCGACCGTCATCTCGACTGTCTTCATTTCCGAAAGCGCATAACCACCGCGCATCCTCCGCATGCTAACGCGGCTGTTGAACTCGTCAAGTCTTACTTTATATATATATATATGTATATATATATATATGTATATATATATATATATATATATATATATATATATATATATATAAGATATCGCCTTTAAATTGTCCAATGCAGCAGCCAGAATTAGTATTGCCATACACACATGCATACACATGTTCAGTCCTTTATTTCAAGCTGTCCTTTAGATTATTCATTTTTCTAAAACTCAGTTTTGCCCTTTATTTTTTATTTAGCCTTTTAAATTTGTATGAAACAAAAATTTGTTTCAACATAGTCTAACAATAGAATTCTTTTTTTTTACTCGTCGATTTCCACTTTGGTCATAAATTAATTTGAAAACGTGTTAAAACAAAGCTCGAAAATTTTCAGGGATTTTATATGTAACGAGAAACACTTTGTAAGAAACCCAGAGAATTATTTAGGGAACAGATTAGTATGAAGGAGCTTCTTTCCGCAGGATTTCTCGCAGAGCAGGATCTGTCCTTCGACAGGATTCTCGTTTTCCAAAAACGTGACAGGATTGTGCATTCGAGAAGCGCGATTTTGATGACAATGCGTAAATGTTGAAGTAAAAGAGAGTCTTTGGTTGTTTCGTGAGGCCTACATGGTTCCTTCATTTTGAAATGATAGTTGCAAATCAAGGATGACGAATGTGTATTGTCGCGCTGTTAATTTGTTCCGGAAATATACATCTGGCATCTTCTAGCAATACTATAACATTATGTACGCATATGTATATATATATATTGCAACGAGAAATATTATTCCGTAGAATTTATTTAGAGAACAGATTACTCTGGAGAAGCTTCTCTTATATTTGCAGGATTACTCGCAGAGCGAGTAATGTCTCTCCGAGGAATTCTCGTTTCCCGAAAACGTGACAGGATTATGTATTCGCAAAACGCGATTTTTATGACAATGTGTAGACGTTGAAATAACGAAAGATCCTTGGTTGTTTCCTTCAAACGTGAATGATAGTGTCAAGTCACGGATGACGAAATGTATAATGTCGCACCGTTAATTTTTCCCGTTTTTTTAATGACAAACAGGTCGTTCCAATTGCTCGATACACTATTAACCGCGCGAAGGAATATAAAAATTATCGTAAACGATTTTCTATATTTAATTACAATGACGAATTCTAAAAAAATATCAAAGATATATTATAATAAAACGATAAAATTTCTCATTACAACGTGATTAAGTTTTTAGTTATCTCCTTTTTTTAAAGCAGTAAATAAAGAATGTTAAAAGAATGATTACTTACAATTACATAATGACAATAAAATAAATTGTTTCGATCAATTAATCGGTACACAAATATATCGTAATATATTTCTTTTTCTTTCGCTAGAACCAAATGTCTAAGAGTTTTAATATTAAATATTTAATAATCGTAACATACCATATTATTTTTGTGACTTTCTAACTATGACACTTTTCACATTTATTGATTTTCTTATTAATGACTAATGATTTTCGTATTAATGACTACAAAATTTCTCTTTTTATGACTTCAAAATATTTGAAATATTTCTGTTCTTAGTCACTTAAAAAATTTTATCAATTTTATTTACTCCGTCAATAATCATGTATATATAATTTATATTGTAATTTCGACTAATAGAAAGAAATAGAGAAAGAGGAAGTCCCTCCTGCAAATTATAAATTATTTGTGATGATGTATCATCATCGTCATGATAACTCATGATTCAAAACGATGATTATACATTAGATACAATCACCGGCAAGTCCATGTTAAGCATTTCAAATCGCCCAAGTATCTATAGAAGCTAATGTTTGCGTGTAAATACTTGGCAGGACTTTACCACCATTCGTGGAACAAGGATATATTTGTAATCTTGCAGAGTGAATAATATATATATATATATATATATATATATATATATTTCCCACGACAATAACATCGATGAACGTGTTAGTAGTGGGAAATTACTATTTTCTGGCAGAGGAAAAATAGATTCCGTATTAGATATGACTAAGAATATTAGTTGATCTGTCTAATAATGTTGCAAGAATGTATAATAATTATCCAAAGTGATATTTTCTTATGTAAGATACGCGCTGGAAAAGATAGATCTTTTTTTGTATGTTCTTCTTATTATCTAGATATAGGATTGATTAAAGAAAACTTAATTATATAATTGCAATGTAAATAATACATTTTATCATTAACATCGACATTTTATCTTATATTAGCATATACAATACATACTATATATGATTTGATAACTATAATAGCTAAGTAAACAATTTCTTAAACAAATTATTATTCATCATAATAATCTTTTATTTGTTTCTTAATAATTGGAATTTACGCAATTCCACTTTTTTATCTATTATTTATTTCCTGATTTCGCCACATATTATTCGATAACAGCGCGTACTTATATCTGCACAGTAAATAAAAAAAACATTAATTTAATTAACTTAATTCAGGCATTTAATTTATTTTTATATTCCGATAAAGAGCGCATAATTTTCGAAAAGAGACTTTCTTCAAACGTTACAAGCACACTTTTTCAAAATTATAATATTAAAATTCTCGCGACAGGAGAGTATATAACACCGAAAATATTTGCCATACATTTGGCAAAACCTTCGTTATTCGATATGCAGTTTCTTCATTTATAGGTATAGGATCTAAAATTGCACGCGCGCAGAAGCGCTTTCTCAGAAGGGAATCCAATTTAACGCCCGACGTTAAATTCTCTCTCTCTCTCTCGACAGAATCGATTATTATAAAAGTTCTCCAAGTTCGAGCGAGTGACGTGTTACTCTAGAATTTAGCTGATCGAGCGACCATGAATCACATTCCTCTCTGTCACGGAGACTCACACAGGTACCTACTACACGCGAAGCGTCATGCGCTTCCGCGAACGTAGTATGTCTGTGGGAAATCGTAATCTCTCTCGCTCCGCGTGAGCGTTCGTTCATATAAACTCCCGGAATGTATCGCGTGCGGCCATTCAGTAACTCGAGCGAGCCGCCGCGTACATCGGGCTCCGAAACGGAGTTTCTCTCGTCACGAGATACTTGGGATTTTCTCGGGATACGTCGGTGCCTTCTTCTCTTCTTTTCCCGCCAGAATCAGGATTACGCTCTTCTCAGGATTACGCGAGATGACGAAGAATTACTTGTTCTCCGCCGCCTGTGGAGCATATTTAAACGACCTGTCCGCTTTTAGAGATCATTACTGCAGGCAGAAACATGTGAGTACAATACATGTGCGTGGGCGAATACTGATATTTTGTTTGCTCTTCAAGGTATCAAGTTTGCTTTCTGTCTCTTTGTTGGTTTGATTTTTTATTTATTTAGAATATAATTCGCTGGAGGGAACATTTTTTTTTTTCATTATAGATGATTGTATCACTGAAGGAGATAGATTGTATGATTAGAGGGAAAAGCATGGATATATATATATATTTATAAATAATTTTTAATCATCTTTTTACAAGATTATTTTTCCTGAAATATAACGAACGGTTAATTTTTAATTTATTTAGAATATAACGCGCAACAAGGAACATTTTTTAAAATTAGATTGTATTACTGGAGAAGCTAGATTATATTAGCAAATAAATATATAAATCTTTATGTACATATATTTGAAATAATTTTTAATAACTTTTTGAGATTATTTTTCCTGGAAATGAATTGATTAGTTGTTTGTAGTATTTGCGAGTGTTTAAATGTCATAGCAGATAAACTACAGGAATTCTTTTCACATAGCGCTTATCTATTTACACATCCCATTCGTTATCTCCTTATATCTCATATCTTAATTTATCTCTTATCTATTAAATTTTCTTTTAAATATAACATATAATATATGTGAAGCCAGACGACAAGTAGACTAAAGATCAATAATGCACAGACTTTAATCAGGTTTCTATGTATATACATATATGTATCTGTGGAATTACGATGTCATTAACTTAACGAGCACGTAACGACAAAGTTAATTAGGTAATTGCAAAAAAATCCCGATTAAACTCGGTGTCTTTATTATTTATTCACCGCAGAAGATTCCAAACACATCATCTCCACTTATCGATTACATGAATCCGGCATGTTTGCTCGCGAAAGATGCGTGTATCTATAAATAGCATCATGTGTCAACATAATTCCTCCTGTACGCAATTCAAAAATGCAAAGTATTCTACGATACCACA